GTTTTAAGTTAAGTGCCTCTGCCGCTTTCTGAGTAATAAAAGTTCTCTGGGATCCTTGATCAAATCGACCACAAGTGGTGATCTTGGCTCCTTTATTCTTTACTTGGAGTGTGGCAGTGGGCAAAGTTGCATCCACTTGAGATGCTGATGAAATTACTCTGTAAACTCCTCGCACCTTGCAGCACTCTACTTGTGTAGATTCTTTGCTTCCTATTCTATAATTAAAATAATTTGTTTTGACAAATTTGCACAGTGCAGCATGATTTCTGTCTCTTCTGCACCTATTGCAGGTGTTCAGTGGAGTTTCACAGCTGTTAACATTATGTGATTTGAGACACCTAGTACATTTGTGTAACTGTTTCAGTCCTCTGACTCGGGTATCTCTATTAGGATAATTAGTACTTTAGTACAAAGAATGGTTTTGATTGCAAAACAAACATAATCTCCATCCTACAGTTCGTTTAGGGTTCACCGGTTTAGGTAAAACTGCAACTACAGGTTGTGAAGGTTTTGCTGTTTGCATTTGCTTGTTGTTTTGTTTGTTCCAACTTGGGGTGGAAGTGTTTGGTTTACTCTTAGGAGCATTTGGGCTCTTAGGGGAGTACTTATTGGACTCTTGGGTCTCTTGGCAGCACTTGTGGTGCTCTTAGGTCTTACTGATGAATCAGTGTTTAACCTGTTGTTATTACATTGAATATTAGTACCCGTGTTACCTAATAACTGTGTCACTTTAGAAGTTTCAGGTAAGGAACCTAATATGGGTACAGTAACTGTTGGTTCAGAATAGGCATTGAGTGCCTGGTTTACTTGTTGACAGTTGATCACATTACACAAACCTGTAAATATATCCTGCATTGACAGGACATTACCATTCTGGTATAAATACAATTCATTGAGTACCTCACCAGTCAATTTTCTCTGAATAATAATTTTAGTTATCCACTCAACAATGGGGTGATCCACCTCCTTACTGAAGGAACTTAACAATGACTCAAGTTGAAAACTAAAAGCTTATAAGGAGTCAACTGATTGCTCTGGTTGAGATAAGTCTAGTAATTGATGTACGAGGTTTATGATAATCTTCTCATTGTTAGCACTTGCCCTATGGAGCTGGGTGGCTTGATTGATGCTAATGGGTTCAACATCACCCCTAAGAGGCTGGTTTGAGTGATTATGACCATCACTACTTTTGCTTAAGACTTCTTGTTTAGCCTCAGCTTTTATTTCAGCTTCAGCCTTTACTATAGCTTCAGCTTCTATTCCAGCTTCAGCTGTTGTTGCAGGTTCAGCTGCTTCCTCATCTTCTGTTTCAGTTTCACTGGCTGTTGCAGCTTCACTTGGAGTTTCATCTGCAGCTTCACTTGGTTTACTGGGTTCATATGGGAGGCTTATTAATTCAGTAGCCTCATGTATTGAATTTATAAAATTCAGGGAATATAGAGCTGAGCTCTCTGAAAGTTGTTCAGATTCGATTAATGTATTCTTATGTGAAGTTGTGTTAGATGACACTGTAGAAAATGAAGGTTGAACTTCAGTTGTTGATCCTGTGTAAGGGTGAGATATGATTGGAGGACTCTCCTCATTTTGAGTTAGCTCATGTATTTCATCTGAACTGAGTGCTTGTTTGGGTGTAGGTGTGCCATAAATATGTCCTGCCCCAGCAGGAACATTTGATGTTACAAGCATCTTTTTATAGTAAATTAACCTGGCCTGAATTTTGTCTTCAAAGTCGGCTAGGCCAGACATGATTAGATCTATTTCATCTAGATCAATATTACTGGTATAGATTGTACTTATGCACAGCTCAATAATTTCTTGTATGTGCTTGAATTGCTGGTTAGCTATCTCTGCTGAGATTTCCAGCGATATGACACCAACTGGGTCTGTTTCTGTCCAGCTGTCACATTGATTAATTAACTCTGTTAAGTAACATTGTAGGCTTTTCAGTCGTATTGTAGTGTTTTCTAGTGTAGTCATGTTGACTATGGGTTGAAGCTTTATGGAGCTTATGGCCAATAGGCCTTCTGCAGTTACTTCCATTCTTATGTTCTCATATCCAAGTTATACTCATTGTTTCGTATTCTGTCTTGTGTTTGTCACAAGTTTGTTCACCTCACCCAATAGAATATAAGTACGATGAATTTGTGTAAATTAAGTATTTGAAAATGTAATAAGCCATTACGAAATGCGTTCAGGCGTCAGACCATAAATAAAAATGAATTTTGGAGAATTGATATTTCCATTACCACCGACAGTGAAGAAAAACATAAGAAATATTGAGAAAATTCGTGTTAGAATTATAAATCTTACCTTTTCGGTCATATTCAACAACATATGTTTACAAGAAAGACTGCTACCAAAATATACTAGTACATCATATATGTATTTATGTATATATATACATCATATATGTATTTATGTATATATATACATCATATATGATGTATATATATACATCATACATGTATATGTACATCATATAATTGAACATCCTATGACGAATATAAATGATTCTAAAATGAGAAAATTCGGCTAACGCTAAAGTAGATGAAAAAAAACACCAGCATTTACATATTGAAATTTAATAGTTTCAATAGAATACATCTACCAAATGAGGTATAGAGTTGACTTGTAGTTTGATTCATTGTTCACGTGGAAATTCAAATGCATTTTACCTTCAAATTATACGCTAATATATGCTAGATTGTATTTTAGTGATCTTTCCTGTTTTTAGTATTTTACTGATACACACACTCTCTCTCCACATATAATTTCAAACATTTCATTCATGTCAGAAAGTTGGATATGCAAAATCTTTCTATAAAAAAAATTATATTTGGCATTTAAAATTCAATTTACTGGTGTAAAAGTGTATTTATGATTGTGTAAATATCTATATAAATATATGATGAAATAAAAACGAATAACAAAAGCATATACGCCATCAACCTGAAAACGGAATGAAGCACTCTCACCAATAAAAATGTTTGAAACATTTACTATCATTTATACATAATTGACACCATTTATTATTATACCCAAAAAAACGGCTTCTTGCAATACGTCCCTTGGTACGTTAAATAAAATGTTCTATATTAGAAAATATGGGGTAGATGGGACTCGTTAGCCTGGGAAGGCAACTCATCTAGGGGAAGGGAAACCCCTGATTCTAAACCTTCGCTGCCTTGCGGCCATATCCCTCTGTTGGGAAAGGCTTCAGGAGTCAACCTCGAGGAAAAATCCGGAGTTGGAGCCCCTAAGGCAGTTCGTTGTAGACTACGGCCTCATTCTGGCAGCTCCTGCGACGATGCTGGAACCATGCGTATTGGCATTTGCCTTTCCTTTGGATAATTTCAGCAATGTGGAGAAAGGGGGGGGGGACCTGCTGCATGGGTAACAGCTGTCGGAAAACCCGACACCATTTAATAATATTACATACAATAGGCAGATAATATTGCTGCTGCCGTTGTATACACAAGTTCCCATAGAAAACGTAGCTTGTAGTGGAATTTTCTGTCAATAGAAAACGATATATCATTGCCACATAGTACTATAAATTCACAAGCTATTCTGTTGGGAATTATTCTTAAATACAGTAGTCTTTGGACTTTTAATATCATAAAAACATCTCATTTGAATTAACTTAATTATCAGTATCAAAATAGAGTAAATGTGACCCTTCTATCAGTTACTGACATCTGGACAAAGTGAGCCAAGGCGTCAGTGGTGGTGAAGAGCTCAGGCATTGTTGGTTAAGACTGAGTCGTTCGAGCAAATTCCGCTCCTATAATTCTCTTGGACGAAGTGTTATGGAGATCAAATTTTGTGTTCTACCATCATCAACACGCTGTCAACAACCACAAGGGAAGTGTCTTTCCGAAATCTTATCTGTCATTATTGGCCAGTAATGTTAGGTAGATATGATTAATTCCAGTTAGGACACGAACGATCGACTCAACACAGGTAATTAAGCCTTGGTCCTTATGTTATATAATATACAGTGTTTTCTCTGATATAGCTGTCATATATCAGGATTCCAGCTTTACAGCTAGTACACTTTGACAGGAACAAGAAGAGGATGCAAGAATTAATCTTGGTACATCAGTTACTATGAGTGATGGAAGCTAGCCTCTCACGAGGATAATTTGGTGTCTACATCCTAGTTATACCTGGTGCACTAAGCCTACCATACAATAAGATAAGGCAACCCCAATTTTATATACTAATATATATAGTTTAATACTGTAGTTTGATTAGCTGCATATATATAAATTTAATATAAACCCCCCTAATGTGTAAGGATCGATTTATGAGAAATATTGCAGAAATACAGTCCACTTAACATCATACCAATTGCTATCGAAATATATAAATTAACGTAAATATAAATTCTATATAAATTCATATAATTTAAATAAATATAAATCTCACAGGTCGGTTCCCACAACAGCCTCTCCTCCATATCGACATACCCAGGCTTTGCACCCTGAAGAGCAACCAGAGCGCAAGTCCATAGTCTCCCGAGACTGAAGGATGCCTACTGCAATTAGAAAACATAACGTATTTTAGAACATAATTTTTACTACATAAATGTAACACGGATACTTCATTATAATCCATTATTATTCAGTATATTCTGTGCATATTCCATGGACTATAAATACAGAATCTATAATTATTCATGGACACCCAGTCACCAGTTTTACAAGTCAATTCGTGTATCCAAAATAGAAAAAGATTTATGGATGAGACTGTGCATGCCCGTGATGTGTAAGTCAATATCCGCGAGAAGATTCTCTGAGTCATTTGATGAAATGTTTATTTTACCTGGTTATTGTAACTCTGACACTTCAATGGACCAAGAAACAATGTTCAACAGAGAAAAAAGTAACTTTTAAAATATTCAGTAATTTATTCCATAACTAAGTTACGTTGTAAAGAGTAATAACAAGGGGCAACATTCGACATTGATGATGACTTACTTGTGTGTTGCTCGGCAGACGGTGTCTGGTGCCTGGAGTGTGCGCTGGCTCTAAAGTTCCTGCAGGCGGAGCTGGCGGCAGGAGTGGCGTACGAGACACTGGTAGAGGAGGCCATCGACATCTGCTTCACCACCGTCGGCTACTCAGAACTCTACTGCAGAGGATTCATCTCTATGGTCGCTGTCAGTATCCTGCTGACTCTCGTCCTCTTCACTCCCCTCCTGTGTTGTTAGAGCATCTTGCTTCGTTTGGATTATCAGTCCCTTTTATGTCTGCCAACATGTGTCACTAACCCTGATGTGCATGTACGTCCTTGTGAAGATTACTATATGTTTACTTGGCTCCATTTATAAACTTATTTCTTGTACTTCACCGTGTATGTAAGTCACTGTATATGTAATTCACCGTGTATATGAGTCACAGTATATATAGTTCACTGTGTATGTAAGTCAATGTATATGTGGTTCAAAGTAAATATTCGTCACAGTATGTGTAGTTCACCGTGTATCTTCGTCACTGTACATGTAGTTCACAGTCTATGTAAGTCAATGGATATGTAGTTCTCAGTGAATGTTCGTCACTGAATATGTAATCTCTCCGTGTATGTTCGTCACTGTATGTGTAGTTAACTGTGTATGTTCGTCACTGTATGTGTAGTTCACCGTGTATGTTCGTCACTGTATGTGTAGTTCACCGTGTATGTAGTTCGCCGTGTATGAGTACTTCACCATGTATGTAGTTCACCGTGTATAAGTAGTTCACTTTGTATGTAGTTCACCGTGTATGTTCGTCACTGTATGTGTTGTTCACCGTAAATGTAGTTCACTGTGTATGTTGTTCACCGTGTATGTGTAGTTCAATGTGTATGTAGTTCACCGTGTATGTGTAGTTCAATGTGTATGTAGTTCACCGTGTATGTGTAGTTCAATGTGTATGTAGTTCACCGTGTATGTGTAGTTCAATGTGTATGTAGTTCACCGTGTATGTTCGTCACTGTATGTGTAGTTAACTGTGTATGTAGTTCACCATTTATGTAGGTCGCTGTATGTGTAGTTCACTGTGTATGTTCGTCACTGTATGTGTAGTTCACCGTGTATGTATAGTTCACTGTGTATGTTCGTCACTGTATGTGTAGCTCATCGTGTATGTATAGTTCACTGTGTATGTTCGTCACTGTATGTGTAGCTCATCGTGTATGTTCGTTACTGTATGTGTAATTCACCGTGTATGTGAGTCACTGTATTTGTAGTTCACTGTATATGTATAGTTCATCGTGTATGTTCGTCACTATATGTGTAATTCACCTTGTATGTGTACTTCACCGTGTATGTTCGACACTGTATGTGTAGCTTAATGTGTATGTTCGTCACTGTATGTGTAGTTCACCGTGAATGTGTAGTTCAGCATGTATTTTCGTAACTGTATGTGCAGTTCACTCTGTATGTTGTGTATGTTTAGTTCTCCGTGTATGAACGTCACAGTACGTGTAGTTCTCAGTGTATGTACATCGCTGTATATGTATTTCACTGTGTATGTACGTCACAGTATATTTAGTTCTCTGTGTATGTACGTCGCTGTTTGTGTAGTTTTCCTTGTCTGTACGTCACTCTATGTGTAGTGCACCTTGTCTGTACGTCACTCTATGTGTAGTGCACCTTGTATGTACGTCACTCTATGTGTAGTGCACCTTGTATGTACGTCACTCTATGTGTAGTGCACCTTGTATGTACGTCACTCTGTGTGTAGTGCACCTTGTATGTAGTTCACCGTGTATGTGTAGTTCATTGTGTATGTAGGTCACTCTATATGCAGTTCTCCGTGTATGTTCTTGTATGTGCGTCACTGTATGTGTAGTGCATCGTGTATGCACGTTACTGTATGTGTAGTGCACCGTACGTATGTACGTATATGTATGTGTGTGTGTATGTATATGTATAAAGTATGTATGGAAGCTGATCAGAATTACATTTCACCTTTGTAAATGAACATTAATGACACTATGTAAAAGACACATCGAACACTTTATGTAGGGCATACGTAAATCTGTGTATCTATGTTTTTACGTATGTAGGTTAGCTTAGCATTTTAAAAGCACCGAATCACCTTCTGTGGTTGATTGTTCAATAAACCCTTGAACTATATGTTTAACACTTCTCTAACCCTGTCCATGGAGGACAGAAGAAAATGAATATATTCTGGTTAGCATTGTAAATGTGTGGCCACGTCTGTGGTAGAAAATAATAATAATAAAAAAAGTGCACCGTGTATGTAGTTCACCGTGTATGTATCTGACTGTATATGTAGTTCACCGTGTATGTACGTCACTGTATATGTAGTTCACCACGTATGTGTAGTTCACTGTGTATGTACTTCACTGTATGTGAAGTCTCTCTGTCTCGACACATTTTCTCTAAATTGTTTAGCATTAAGTTGTAGAAAATAGACATTTAATTTGACTCTTCTGTATGGTATATAATTTATAGTTCTAGTTACCTTATTATATAATACCACATCTATATCATTGGGGGTTTCCTACTTGGTATAGTTTCTGTTCTATTAATATAAAGAGAGCTACAGATCCGTGGTAACAAATTGAATCAATTATTAACCTTAAACTCACAATAATAGATCGGACTGGTCTATAGAATTATATCATTCCCTCCCAGATATATTGTGGTCAGATTATGAGGCCATAGCAATGCAGCACTTAAAATTGTATTGTTATAAATATTATGTGCAGTAGCTTCAAGTGAACGGGAAATTCTTGCTATGGTATATTTAGACATTGCAATTTTTATGTTGGAGGAAGCCTCGTGCCCCAGGCTATATGTGATATTTTAATGCCTTATTAACCGCCGTGTTATGCCCATCCATCAGTTTGTACACTTGCCATATCACTCTTCGCTTTTTTGGGAATGTTCATTCCCTAAATTTTCAATTTCTCTTCATATGGAAGGTTTCAAATTTGTGGGATTAACTTTGTCATCCTTCGCTCAAGACATTCAAGTGAATTTATGTTATTTATGTAGTATTGCGATCAAAATTAAAGTGCATAATTTAAATGGAGCCTAACAATAGCAAAATATCAGAATCAAGACCCACAAACCTTGAAACCCACATCGGCCAATCATCAGCCAGATACCCATACCCATATAATGACGAGCCTTGTACTTATGTGCCTTGTACTTTTAGCCTGACGTCTCCAAAGGAATTTGTTGACTTATTGCGGGGAGCACGGGCCCCAGGGATGAAAGCCTCTCTAGATGTGGAGTCGCTGTATACCAACGTCCCTGTGGACGAAACAAGCAGGATGATGATAGACAGAATGTATAGTGATCTGGCTTGTACCCCTATGGACATACCAGAGAGCATATTGAGAAAGTTACTCGATGCTTGCACTAAAAAGGCACCCATCTGGGGTCCCGATGGGCACATGTATAAACAAGTAGATGATGTTGCCATGGGTTCTCCCCCAGGTGTTCTGTTTGCAAATTTTTACATGGGTACCATAGAGCAGAGGGTCTTAGTTGACATGAACTTAAAACCTGCCATTATTCATTTTCTTTTGAATATTTTCCATTCTATGCAAATATCTTCTACCAATTAGTGGGTGAAGAGACACTAATCACTTAATCTTTCCATTTTTATTGTTTCGACGACTTGTCAGCAACGTGATATCTTCAGGAGTACACTCTGTTGGACTGACACAGCTATACTGAACTATCAATACATATGTTTTACAACATTCAATATATTTGTTAATATTTGCGAGTAATATGGTGACTGACTTCTCCACAGCCGATCGCGTACCACATCTTGAGCACCAACAACGTGACTGCCAGTGACGCCTGTGGTGAGGTGCTCACCAGCCAGGGGTGCACCTCCTCCAGCCCCTCCAGGCAGTGGACACTCACCATCCAGGGACAGAAGCCTCCAGTCCAGCCTATACTGCCTCCTGACGTATGTTTCATGCATATGTTCTTTATTTAGACCAGTTAAATAGATTTATGTCAACATCAAGTGCCATTTTTACTACGGGCTCTAGCGTTAAACTACGATATTAATGTTATGACTATATGAAGCATATAAAATGTAATAAAGTTGCTATGAAATATAAATTCAACTAACAAACATATCTGTAGAATATTAAGGTGCTAGTTTGTGAATTTTTGTAACAATACGTTTGAATATCTTTGGTTAGATATACAGTATTCTGTCATCACTCACCCAGCAACTTTCACCTCATCTCACGTTTTATAAAATTAGACTTAATCACCCCATCTGTAGTCATGATATTCCTTCTTCATTTCCTTCTGTAAGTTTTTATGGTACAGTAAAATTTCATATTTTCAGCCAAATCTTCGACACTTAAAATGACAAACTGAAAATTTTGGAATATGTACATGACAACTTGCAAACCTTCGTCTCAAGAACCAATAAAGGCATGTCAGGATTTCGATTTATCAAAAAACAACGACTGTTATTTTGGTTATTCATGTATGATTCATATAGTGCTGCCTAAAGGCAAAGAAATGGTGTTGATTTATGTTATATTAGAAACACAATTCTTTAAACTCATTTTGGCTCTGGCGAAACTACTAGTTATCAACCTATTGCTCGAAGGAAACCGTCTGCAGCATTGTGTTCTTGTTTCAGGATGCCAGAATATTCTCTTAATTAAGACTATTTATGGCCGAATAATCTACGTTTGCACCTAAGACGGTATTCTGCTTGTCTCCCACCACGAGATACATGTGCAGTGTGGTCTGTCAGCATCTGGAGAGTTATGCAATATATGATAAGAACATAAGAACAAAGGCAACTGCAGAAGGCCTATTGGCCCATACGAGGCAGCTCCTATCTATAACCACCCAATCCCACTCATATACTTGTCCAACCCGCGCTTGAAACAATCGAGGGACCCCACCTCCACCACGTTACGCGGCAATTGGTTCCACAAATCAACAACCCTGTTACTGAACCAGTATTTACCCAAGTCTTTCCTAAATCTAAACTTATCCAATTTATACCCATTGTTTCGTGTTCTGTCTTGTGTTGATACTATTAATACCCTATTAATATCCCCTTTGTTATGTCCATTCACCCACTTGTAAACCTCTATCATGTCACCCCTAACTCTTCGCCTTTCCAGTGAATGCAACTTAAGCTTTGTTAATCTGTCTTCATATGAAAGATTTCTAAATAAGAACATAAGAACATAAGAACAAAGGTAACTGCAGAAGGCCTATTGGCCCATACGAGGCAGCTCCTATTCTATAACCACCCAATCCCACTCATATACTTGTCCAACCCGTGCTTGAAACAATCGAGGGACCCCACCTCCACAATGTTACGCGGCAATTGGTTCCACAAATCAACAACCCTGTTACTGAACCAGTATTTACCCAAGTCTTTCCTAAATCTAAACTTATCCAATTTATATCCATTGTTTCGTGTTCTGTCCTGTGTTGATACTTTTAATACCCTATTAATATCCCCCCGGTTATGTCCATTCATCCACTTGTAAACCTCTATCATGTCACCCCTAACTCTTCGCCTTTCCAGTGAATGCAACTTAAGCTTTGTCAATCTTTCTTCATATGAAAGATTTCTAATTTGGGGAATTAACTTAGTCATCCTACGCTGGACACGTTCAAGTGAATTTATATCCATTCTATAATATGGCGACCAAAACTGAACTGCATAATCTAAATGGGGCCTAACCAGAGCAAGATATAGCTGAAAAACCACACCAGGTGTCTTGTTACTAACGCTTCGATTAATAAAGCCCAGTGTCCTATTCGCCTTATTACGAACATTCGTGCATTGATCCTTTTGTTTTAAATTCTTACTAATCATAACTCCCAGATCCCTTTCGCAATTCGACTTCAAATCTCAACTGCGAAGGTGAATGGACATAACAAAGGGGATATTAATGGGGTATTAAAAGTATCAACACAAGACAGAAATCGAAACAATGGGTATAAATTGGATAAGTTTAGATTTAGGAAAGACTTGGGTAAATACTGGTTTGGTAACAGGGTTGTAGATTTGTGGAACCAATTACCGCGTAACGTGGTGGAGGTGGGATCCCTCGATTGTTTCAAGCGCGGGTTGGACAAGTATATGAGTGGGATTGGGTGGTTATAGATAGGAGCTGCCTCGTAAACACTGCCCCAACTATGCTGGAATAAAAAGTTAGCAATTAGCCTAACGTCTATTGTGGGAAAGTTACTTGAATCAATAATTGCAAATACAATTCAAATACAATGAGTCGCAACATGGTTTTACAAATGGCCGTTTATGTTTAACAAATTTGCTAATATTTTATTCCGGCATAGTTGAGGCAGTTGATAGTGGTAAGGATTGTGATGTTGTGTACCTTGACTTTAGCAAAGCCGTTGATATAGGGCCACATGAAAAACTAATTTAAAAAATAGAAGCTCATGGTATTGGGGGTGCTATACTAAGTTGGATTAGGGCATG